TAACTTATAAATCGAGTTATAGAAGAGCTCACTTTAAGACTTAGGGATGAATTTTCCTCCGGTATTCTAAGAACTAACAAGTTTAGTCATACAGATGGAAAGAAATACCGTATAACAAATCAAACCAGTCTAACAAAACTAATATACTCGTTTCACATCTCTGGCGAGTATAAATACCACCACAATGGACAAAGGACTCGAGCGGTTTGTTTGCCGCTCCTAAGCTTATTTTTTTGCCGAGTGGCAAGTGCCACGCCCCCGCACACCGCCCACACCCTTCACCATTGCCAGCTATAAGAAGCGTAAAAATGTGAGCGAAAAAGAAATCAAAAAATAAAATGTGAAAGGAATTAAAAATGGACGTTGGCGTTGGCGTTGGCGTTGGCTAAACAAAACAAATGGAAAGCCAGCCAACAGCAGAACCAGGCAGGCCACACTCCCTCCGCTACCCCCGCCCCACACTGAACAATACAATTGCCAATGCGCTGGCTACGCATAATCCTTTTCAACTTTCGTCCTGCAGCTCATTATGCGCGCCCAATGCCAATTTTAATGGCCCAAATCCGGACTCCGGCGCTATTGTGTGGAAAAACTACGCTGCTTTTTTGATTAATTATGTGCCGAATATGAAGGGTACTCCAGAATGGGTGAAATAACGGCAATGTTAGCTTGTTTTAGCTGTGAAATTTAGCTTTTGAAATAATGTATTTACGGCTAAGGGGAGGTAAGACTGTGATATATGCATACAGCAGCTAATAATATATTATTAAAAAATTAATTTTAGCTATAAAAATTGTTTAGCTAAAAATAGCAGGTACTTAATTTTTCAGCTCAAGCTAAATACAGCAGCTAAGACTTGTTTTGGCTCGAGCTAAATATAAAACATAATTTTCACAATAAATAATGTTGATCTTGTATTGAAAATAGTTAAATATTAATATATTACAGATTATATTATTATATAGATATTAATTTTTGAGATATATTTACATTATTTTTAAGTCTAGACTTGCCCAGTATTTTGAACTCCAACAGCCCTAAGTTTTAGCTCGTTTATTTGCTTCACATCAAATTTAGCTTTTTATAGCTATTTTTCGGGTCTTTCTCTCAACACTCGTCGTTTTTGAGCATATTTCAACTGAAGTAGCTACATTGCCCCCACCCGAAACGCTTACAAGTAATCGCTGCATTGTCTATTTTGACATTTGCTCTCTCTCCCGCCTTGCTGGGGCTTTGGTTTGGGTGATTAGGTCGGACGCACCTTGTCTGACCGAATAGAAGTCGCCACGCTGCCATTGCTGCCTGCTGCCCGGCCAAAAATTTATCAAATGCGTAATGAGCGCACGTGAGTTGCATGCCACATGGCCCAGAGTTCAGGGTTGGGTCAGCAAGCGAAGCTTATGCTACTTTTTTTTCTATCTCCCACTCTCTCGCTCTCTCTCTCTCTTTCTCTCTCAGCAGCCGACGGCTCGCCTGTTAATTACAACTTAAATTGACAGCAAAATTGGCCTGGCTAAATTGTGGGTTTTAGCATGCGGTCGGCATATTAAGCGCGACTCCAGCTGCTGCACAGACAAATGAAGACTTAAGACCTACTTAACTCTGAAAATAAAAACCAAAAAAACAGAAAAAAGAAACTGAGCCTAAAAAATCCAAATTAGTCAAAAGCATGTGGGGTTGGGAGGTCACACAGTATTTAACCCTAATTTGACACACACTCCTGGAAGGAAGTCACAAATAAATACACATATATGTTTAGCAAGGGTTAAAAAAAGCAGAGCAGAGACAGCAGTTAGAAACGTATGCTACATGCCGTTATGTCAGGCAATATCAATAAACGCCGACAGTCAGCAAAGGGGTTGAGCGGAAACGGAAATCACAAGCAAAGTGCTGACATGTGCCGTGCGTTCACACACATGTCGAAGAGTATGTGTGTGCGTGTGTGTGTGTGCGTGAGTGATGTGTGTGTTGTGGGTGTCAAGTTCCTTTTCACGCGCAAATTGAGTGCTTAAGCGGTTTAGTTGGCAGTTGGGCGCGCTTACCCGGAAACTGACGTAGGCGTGCATAAGCCGCAGCATTCGTCTTGGCATTACACTTAAGAGCAGCCATACACAGAGAAAGAGGGAGAGAGAGAAAGTGAGAGAGAGGGAGGCACTTGCATGTTTATGGAGATTGTGGCTGCCCAAATAGAAATGTTGCCTTGAGCCACGCCCCATGCATTTGAAATTCATAGCGATTTACGTGATTTGCAAAATATTATTTATTGTCAACGCTAGCTAAATGTGTGTGCGTGTGTGTGTGCTGGCAGCGATAAGGCCAATGTCATTTGCATACGGCATACAAAAGGAAGCGCGTTGCGGAAATAAAAATCGCTAACAAATAGCAGCAGCATCAGCGAGTCGCGTGCCAGCCGCATAATTTGCAGTTGTCTTTATATTGTGGCATACTTACAGGCGGCGCACAAAAGTGCCACACACACACACATACACACACATACAGGGAAAGAGTGAGAGATAAAGCTGGCAACACGCTGCCTCATTTGTTGTTATTTATGCTGAGCCTTGGCATTGGGAATACCCGCCGCCTCACACCCGCCCAATGCGAATACGAAGCACATTTGTGCTGCAATTACAGCTGTGTGCGTGTGGGTGTGTGTGTGTGTGGGTCTGGCAGCTGTGCCTCGCTTGGCTCTATGTCCTTTTGCGTATGCAAACATCTCATAATAATAAACATGCCTGGGCGCAACTTCTTTTCGTTTTTTTTTTTCTTTTTATGGCCGCTCAATTGATACAAGAAATTATGTTTTTGATTTTTATTGCGCTGCCAAACATATGATGTTCATACACACACACATACACACACGCACACCAATTATATAGCTGCTTTTGCATATGGCGGGATTATATATATAAACATTTCGAATTGGCCCGCTGGAAGAAAAACTTCAAACTCAAATTTAATAAGCATTGCTTTCACATTTCACATTTCACTCTCACTCCGACTCCGACTTCGACTCCAACTCCGACTCTCTCGCTGCCCTCGTAAGCCACATATGTGGCTAGGGTTTATGACTTTCGCATCTCCACATTTATAAGCAATGCAAATACATAAATAAAAGGCAGCGAGACATGAATACAATTGATTTTGCTTATTTTTCTTTATCGGCAACCCCTAATTGGGCAGCAAAGCAGCCTTAAGGGATATCTAATAGTCGCATAACTGGGGGCTTAGTTAAGCAAATTCTGTATAGTCATACAAAATTCTAAATATTATTACAAGAATAATTTTCAAACAAAATTCTTAGCTGACACCTACTGTAGGGTATTTAAAAGTCGTATTGCACAAGTAATTTACATCGAAATAATATTACTTATGTTGGCGATTCTTAAAATTCTTTTTAATTCTGAGGGAATTCTTCATTGAACATTGTAGTCCGCTGTATACAGCCAACTGATATATGTATTTGACAGGGTATCCAATAGTCACATTTTAAATTATATCAAAGGACAACCAACCGCAAACGTTTTTACGATTTAATATACCTATTCAAAAATATAAAAAATATGTTTTCCCAAAATTTTGCACCAAGTTCAAGTACAATTTTTAGGGTATCTTTAGACGTATACATAATATATATGTATAAAATCGAATTAGTGGACTATATAATAATTCAGAGAGCAATGCTAATGAGGCGAGCTACTTAGCAGACCCTAAAAGTAAATTCAAGAACCTACGACTATTATATACCCTGCAATAGGTATCTAACAGTCGCCTATTCTCCAACTATTCTCGTTTCATTTCAATTGATGCTGACTACAAAAGCTCACCCGCTGAGAGAGCGCTAATCGCTTATCGTTTACGATCTGTAGCTGAGTCTGGGCTATAGCTTCAGAGCATTCGGTTCGCATCGGGTGATACCAGATATAAGGTTTTATATTTCATGAATTTTTTTTTATTACTGTTTTATTTTTTTTTTTTTGGAGGGTTGATTGAATCAGACGCCCAACCACAGAGACAAACGGCGGGGGTTAAAAGGCAAATCAACGCAGTCGATTGATTTTGCTGGCAAACACTTGGACTAGGGGGAGGCTGATCTATAGATATACATATGCAAATTCAAGATATTATAAACATTTACACTTTCCAGCAGCCACACACCACAAATTGATATAGATATATAGAGCGCAACAAGGTTACGCTTAAATATTGTTTGACAATATTTCCGTATCAATAGAGCTGGTAGCTGTATGGGTCTATATAACGAGTACTTTGATACCCTATAACTGGTTACCTGTAAACATATTTAGTATTATTTTTATTATTATATATATTAAATTATATATATTATATATATTTTTATATTTTATTAAACAAAAGTTTTTTAAAGAAATTTGAAAAAAGTGTTTTTAAAAATCTCAAAAATATCTTCAGTACGATAATAAACTGTCAGATTACATTAAGAAATCAATTCTAAAAATATATATATGAAAAATATATAAAAATTTTGATTCCAATTTTTCAGCAAATCAAAAATTTCACACATAGCAGTAAAAAAAAAAAAAAAAATTAAATGAATTTAAATTTAAAATTTCAATTCCTTCAAAAATTGTACAAACTACTCTATTCTACTCAGTAACTCTCTACTCTTTATGAAAACTTTTCTGCATTTTCCCATCAAATTTCACCTTGATAACCCTGGCTATACACATATGTGTTTCTTAAATGATACTTTTGAATTTGTCTGTGATCCAAGTGCAAGCACCGCCTGGCAAATCTAATAAAGAATTTTGTGCTCTGCACACACACTGTCAAGTCGACGGCTTGGAAATTGATGTCACTGACACAGTCACACACACAAACAATGCTGAATTGGAATTAGCTTTTGAAGACGCGACTCGACTTCCATTCGCTTTGAAGGCGAGGCACTCATCTACTCAACTGCTCAGCTACAACTTGGAGCAGATTTCCACAGATAATACAAATCCAGCGCTTAGCTTAGTTTAGTATGGCTACGTTTACGGTTACGATAATATCGTCGTCGTCGTCGTCGTGTTAAAGACGAACTACGCCTATACGGCAGCTATAAGTCGCTGATCTAATCTACAATTTGTGGTGTGAAACAATTTAAATCAGTGAAAAATCTGTGGCTCGCTAAAGTGCTAATTCCCTAATTTAAAAGTAAATTTATGCTCGGTATATACTATATATTCTATATAGTATGTGCATACATAGAGAGTGATATTCGTATAGCATATATATTATGATTCAAGCACAACATAATCAAGATAAAGTTCAAGTGATAAGCAGCGCAAAAATTTAAATATGCTAAGTGAATTGTGGCGTCGACAATAAACACACAAGTGAACATGCGAGCATCATACATACTGTACACGAATATATAGTCTATATACTGCATATACATATCTACCCACCTACATATGTACATTACATGCATTAAATAATAGAACACGTTGAGCACACCTACACACACTCATACTCACACTAACGCGTGCTCGGCTCTTGAAAATCAAAATAATAATAGAAAGAATGAGCATGGGCATGGGAATGCAAAAAGTTGGACAGAGATAGAGAATGAGCGAGATAGAGCGTGAGCGACACAGCGATAACAAGAGAAAGAGCTCAAAGCGACTAGCGCCTAGAACTCTACTAGATTATAGTTGATGTAGTAAACATATCTGGAAAATTTAGAAAACAAAATACAGCTGTTATCTACGACGAGCTAAACATTAAATACCCTGGAATTTATGCAATATATAATAAGACGGAAAATGAAACTAATAATAATGGGAATGAAAAGTGTTGAGGGTAATGACAATAGAAAGACAGAGGAATGGGAAGTGGAAGAAAAATATAAGAGAACATGAGAGAGAGAGAGAGAGAAAGAGAGAAAGAAGGGCGGTACAAGAAAACGAGAAAGAAAGGCTAATATTATAGTGGGGAAGAGCGAATATGACAGCAATATCTAGAGAGACAGTGAGAGAGGAGAAAATGAGTGAGAAAAAAAGAGTGAAAGCCAGAGATAGCAAAGAAAATGATAGCGATATGAAGAGAGAGACAAATTAAGAAATACAGAGAGAGATGGAAAATAAAAAGAAGAGGAAAGAGATATAGGGAGATATAGAGATAGATAGAGAAACAGAGAAAGCGACATCGAGAATCAGAGTGGAACAAAGAGAAAGATAGACAATGAAGAAGATATACAGATAAAGTAAGGAGCAAGAGAGACAGATAAAGTTAAAGAGTCATAAACTGAGAAAGAAAAGAGAGCAAAGATAAAAAGAGAGAGAGAGAGAGACAGATATTTAAATTAAGCAAAAGGATTTCAGTCATATATTGTAATAAAGATAGATGGAATTAGATATTCGTACTACTTGAATTGCCTCACTAATTACTTGAACAACTGTGATATAAAGCGAATTTCTAAGAAATGCCCATGAAAAATGCAACTATATAAAACATATATAATTTAATACACAGTTATAAAGATGTTTTCAATTAAATGCTTCTTTATTTTCAAACAATTAAATGAATTTGCAAAAATGAAAGTAAACAAAAGTCTGTCGAATACTAAGCCACAAGCCAAACAATGATAAGGCAAGAAAACAAAACTTATCAAGAGCATTATCACAGATGAAACTATGTATACACATATAAATGGGTGAATGTGTGTGCGTGTGTGTGCTTACATACGATCAGCTACAACTCTTATCACTGCTCTGCTACAGCTTCATCAATTTTTGTTCTACAATTGTCATAGTTAACCCAAAAAAAAAAAAAAAAAAAAATGGAGACTGAGATTTTGTTTCATTGAAATTTATTTATCTTCATATCTTTCGCTCAGCAAAAATGATTGAAGATTCTGGCATGAGGTGAAAAGCCCAATAAAAGATAATCTTTTAATAACCAGCGACGCACAAGCGGCCAGGCAGCTTGATAGACGCTGTGCCAACAAGACCCAGCCAAACTGTCAACAAAGTGTGTTCGCTCAGTCGGATAGACAGCGAGTGTCTCCTGGGCGCAGTCAGAGTGAAGAACTTAAGTTAAGATCACACGTAATTTGGGCACAACATGCCATTCGATCCGCAAATGGTGATGCGTGCGGTTGCTCTACAGCATCAACTAACGGCAGAGCGCAACGATTGCAGTCACTAAACCAAAAACACAAAAAAAAAAAAAAAAAAACAAAAAAACTAAATAAAATAAAATAAAAAAACCCTAAGTCAAGCCCAAGAGCAAGTCGGAGCTAATTGCTCGTGAAAGTTTTTTATTTTGACAATTAAGAATTATTGTGCATATCAATTATTGGGGCTCTGTGTGTGTGGGTGTGTGCCTCAGCCGGAAGAATCCAATGTGCTACTAAAAAAAAAAGAAAACAGACATAAAAAAACAAAATCGAGACATACTAAAGTATTCAAAATAAAATGGTGCAAGGCGAGGCGCCCGTGGAGGGACGGGTCACAGCTCGCAGCGATGAGCAGCCGGAGGAGGCAACAGCTGCTGCAGCGGAAGCCCCCGAGGAGCTCCACAAGCTGCTCAACAATGGCAATGCCCACGAGACGACGGACAACAAGAGCAACAAAGGCGCCCAGGCACGCATCAAGGCCAAGTTAAAACGCGAAAAGTCCGAACAGGATCGCCTCATGACCGAGGAGATCAACAAGCTGCTCAACGATATGCCGCTGGAGAAGAATGTGACATGTGGCTTTTGGCTCTTTCGCGGCACTTTCTTTCAGCGGTAAGGCAGAGTGAGCCACGACCAGCATCTAAATCCTAATCGAACACAAATAATTCCCAGCTTCGCCAATCAAACTGCCTACGTCTTGCTCTATGGCATCGTCGGCTGCATTTTCTCAATGACGTACGCCTACTTTAATGGCACCATAACCACGATTGAGAAACGCTTCAAGATACCCTCGAAGAACACGGGCATTATATCGGTGGGCAACGATATTAGCCAAACCTTGGTCTCCGCCGTGCTGGCCTACTATGCGGGCAAGGGTCATAGGCCGCGTTGGATAGGATTTGGTAAGATCTACAAATGATGCCAGCAACATCTTCTATCTCATTGCTGACATTTCCCCCAGGTCTATTGACTATCGTTCTCTTCTGTCTGATGACCACCTCGCCGCATTTTCTTTACGGTCCGGGCGAGGATGCTCTGGCCTTGACCAAGGAGTTTGGCGCTCTGCCCGACGAGAATGCCACCATGGAGGCCATTGAAGAGCAGCGATCGAAGACCTTGTGTCGCCTCTCGGGAGGTGGAGCCGAGTGCGAAGTGGGCGAGGGAAATTTCGCACCACAAGTTTTGCTGTTTGTCGCCCAGTTCATATCTGGCATAGGTGGCTCCCTCTACTACACTCTGGGCGTTTCCTATATGGACGATAATACCAAAAAATCCAAGACTCCAGCTTTGCTCAGTAAGTTCTTAAGCGATTTTTCTTATAATAATGACGTGCGCTCCTAGTGGATAGTGCGCAGATCACATCTCTTATGGCTTTACGACTCCAATAAAAGAATGGGCGTCGTGTTGGTCTGCGAGATAAGTGAGGAGATTACTCCTCAGTAAACAGCCAGAAGTACTGCTTCCGTTTCTTATCACTCATTTAGTTATAGCTCGAATGATAGAGCAGAATGAATTATCTTCTTGAGACTTTTCAGGTTTTTAATGTAAGACATGCTATAATTTTGAGAAAACGTAAAAGAAGTTAGGGATATTCCCTTTAAAATTAATGTATGTGTGGAAATGAAAGATCCTTTCAATACCTATAAACTTCAAAAAAAAAGAATCGAGAAAGATTATGAAAAATACTTAATTATTCTAGTTCGAATATTTTAAAAGAAATATTTAAATACTGAACTATTTTAAGCATTTCTAGAAAGGAAATCATTATATCATTATTACGAAAACTTCTGATAATTTTATACAACTAAACTACTTAGAGACAGTACAGAAAAGAAGACTTTAAACTCCAGTTTTGTTTACCCCATTTTACCATCTGAAAAGAGACAGTCCAAACACATACATATATACCCCATTTGACGCTCTGAGCAGCGTATTTAAATTTCACTCACCCATCTCAGTTTTATGATTGTTTTCGCTTGTTCTTTTTTTTTTGCAGGTCTCTCGTACTTTTTGCGAATGCTGGGACCAGCTATTGGCTATGCTCTGGCATCCTTTTGTCTGCGCCTGTATATCGCACCGCAACTGCATCCGGTTATCAACAACAAGGATCCACGCTGGCTGGGCGCTTGGTGGTTGGGCTGGTTAGTCATGGGCGGTCTGTTATCATGCTCGGGCATCTTTTTGTCGATGTTTCCCAAGGAGCTGCCCCGCGCCGCCGCCAGACGCATGGTGGAGGAAAAACGACGACGCGAACGTCATTCGCTCAAGCAAAAGGAGAGCACAGAGAAGGAGAAGCTCACAGCAGATCTGGAAGCGAGAGCTGAGCAATCGGCAGCAGAGCAAAAGGCTTCGTTCAAGGATATGCTGGTCACGTTCCGGCGTCTGACCACCAACAAGACGTACATGTGCAACACGCTCTCGAACATCTTCTATCTGATTGGGTATACGCCGTTCTGGATATTTACGCCCAAGTACATCGAGGTGCAGTACAAACAGTCGGCAGCCACCTCCAGCATGGTCACGGGCACTGTGGCCCTAGCCTTTTCCGCCATAGGCGTGCTGCTCTCCGGTTTCATCATATCCCGCTATAAGCCCAAGGCTCGCTACATGGCCGCATGGAATGTGATCTGTGCCGTTCTGGTTGTCGCTGGCGTTGTGACCTATGCATTCATTGGTTGTCCGGATAACGAGCGCTCGGTCATTGTGAATATTCACAATAGCGCTGTGAATGACAGTGTCACCTGCAATTCGGCCTGTTCCTGTGACTATGTCCGCTACTCTCCCGTCTGTGGCGAGAATAGCATGACCTATATATCCGCCTGCCATGCCGGCTGCAAGATGGAGCATGTACGCCCCGATGGCAAAAAGGTACTTCGAAATGGAGTCTGACTATATCTGTGTCTATAGTTTCTAATGTTTTCTGTAGGTCTTCTATGACTGCTCCTGCATACCGGGCACAAGAAATAGCACCTTCAATCGCTTAACTCCACTGGATTTGGCCAATGAGGCGAACAGCAGAGATCTAACGGGTAAAGCGCTGGAAACTGCCTTATCCATAGAATACTTGGAGGTAAGTTTTGTATACTAAAAAGTACGAGGGAGATTTGTTTTCTCAATGGATCTAGAGTACTTTCCGATATTCAAGAAACAAATAAATATTATTTGGCATTCCTAGTCAATCAATCAATCATTACCAGATAAGGAGCTCTATAAATGCATTCCCTCATTTGTTCTCTTTTTCTCAGCAACTCGCCGCTGGTCAGGCCACGCCAGGCGCATGTCCTGTCAACTGTTGGACGCAGTTCGTCGCGTTTCTCTCAGTGATGTGCTTTCTGAAATTCATTGGCGCTGCGGGCAGAGCATCCAATTTCCTAGTATCGGTTCGATGTGTGCCAGAAAAGGATAAGACGGCGGCCATGGGCTTTGGCATGATGCTATGCTCGATGTTTGCCTTTATACCGGGGCCCATATTCTTTGGCTGGATCTTTGATCGCATGTGCCTGGTGTGGGGTAAAACGTGCACGAACAAGGGCAACTGTTGGCTCTACGATCCAGAGTCCATGAGGTGCGTTCTATACATACTATATGATTATTGATTGATCTCTTAATAATCGCATTCGATTTAGGTACACGCTCAACTTTACGGCAGCTGTTTTCATTAGCCTGGGCGCTATCTTCGACTTTGGTGTCTGGTATTATGTGAAAGATCTTAAGATATTCGACGAGGAGGTCAAGGAAGTCGAAATGCAAATAGTGCAGCACGAGGAGGAGGTCAATGCTGAAAAGAATACCGAAATATAAGTTACTAGAATAATTTATAAAAAAAAAAAAAAACTAAACATATATATCTATATATATTTGTAAGATAATGTTATCTTTAAGCTAAAGATTGTGAGTGATTTTGGTGCCTATATATGCGAGATTTTAATGATGCGAGTCTGTCGGTATAATAAACTATTATGACGCCTAAGATCGTGTGATAAATGCAACCGTCAAGGCTCTTATTTCACTATACTAAGACATACGTACAGTGGTCACACGTTAAGCTAAACCGCTAAGAAATTCCAAAGAATTCTGTATGAAAATCAATAAATTTACTTAGTGATAATTTAAAATATTATCTATTTATATGCAAACTTTAGGTATTAATAGAGACCTTGCAAAGCGACATCTTTAGCGAGTAGCTACTGTATTTATCATCTTTATTTAAATAATCTACATAAAAGTCGGGCAGACAGTGCATAAAGCATATGTACAGAAGCCTAGACAACTTATCTTAAAATTAAGTTTTCGCGTGGGATTACGTTAATTACAAGACTTTATAGCTATTATCTATATAGATATAGACAGTGGTTACATTTTGTGCATAATTATAGTTGCACTTTATGAACTTTAGTAATTGCCAAAGTTCAGTTTGGCTCTGTAGTTCGACAATGGCAGATGAGGCGAATGAAGTGACTGAATTCCTGAAAGCTCCCAATGACAAAAAGGATGCGAAACGGGAGCTACCCACCTCAGATACACAATGTGGCTTTGGTATATTCAAAGGACCACGCATTCAACGGTATTTTCATAAGGAAAACATTTCTCTTTCAAGTTTTCATGTAATTCTCATTATAGCTGGGCCACGGAGCACATGTTTATGGTGCTGTTCGGCATCGCCGGCTGCTTTATAGGCATGGCATTTTCCTATTTCAATGGCACGATTACAACGCTGGAGAAACGCTATAAGATACCCACTAAGACATCGGGCATCATAACGGTGGGCAACGATATAAGCACAACGTTGAGTTGCGCCTTCTTAGGGTACTACGCGGGTCGCGGACATCGACCGAAATATGTTGCTCTAGGTAAATCCCTCATTCCCTGTTTTTCTCTCTCTTCCAATCTTCCTTTATATGTCATTCTCTTTCTCTTCAGTCTCCCTATCCATCGCAGTGTGTTTTCTTTTCTCTCTTTCTCCATGATTCTCTCTCCACCTTCCTCTTTCACTCTATATCTCTATGTTTTTGTACACTTTCTTCTCCATGATTCCTTTTCTTCTAACTTTCTATTTCTATTCCAAGGGCTTCTCATCTTGGCGATCTTCTGCCTGCTGATGGCATCTCCCCATTTCATCTACGGCGCTGGCGAGGATGCTATAAAGCTCACCCATGAATATTTGAATACAAGTGTTTTTAATGCCACCCAGGAGGATCCCACACTCTGTCAATCCCGATTGCCCGACTGTGTGCAGACAGCGAGTCAATGGGCGCCCATAATTTTGTTGTTCGTGGCGCAATTTATATCTGGAATCGGATGTTCACTCTTCTACACACTGGGTCTATCCTATATGGACGACAATTCAACCAAGTCCAAGTCACCGGCGATGCTTAGTAAGTTTCCGAATCTATTCCTCTTAAGCCTCTCTTCATTGTTTTCTCTCTTTCACAGGCTGGTCTGCTTTTCTGCGCATGTTGGGTCCAGCGTTTGGCTACTCCTTGGCATCCGTTTGCCTACGTTTCTACATAGATCCGCAGCTGAAGCCGCTTATCAGCAATGAAGATTCGCGTTGGTTGGGTGCCTGGTGGCTGGGCTGGATTATATTGACGATCATAATGCTGATCTCTGCCTTTTTTCTATACTTGTTTCCCAAAGAGCTGCCCAGTGCTCAGGCTCGACGATTGAAAGAAAATGGAGTCGACACTGGGGTTCACTCAGTGACAGAGTTATCCCTCGCCGATATGATGCAATCCGTCAAACGATTGGCCAACAACAAAGTATATGTCTATAACAACATTGCCTCCATTCTCTACTTCTTCGGCTATACGCCCTATTGGATATTTACGCCCAAATATATTGAGACCCAATATCAACAATCGGCTAGCACAGCCACCATGGCAACGGGTACAGTCGCTCTGGCCTTCTCGGCAGCCGGTGTCTTGCTCTCCGGCTATGTAATCTCCAAATACAAACCCAGTGCCCGGGCAATGGCCGCTTGGAATGGCATTGTTGATATATCTACGGTAATAGGCATCTTGTGCTATGTGCTCATCGGCTGTGCTGACAGCGATAAGGCGACATCCATGTCGCCAATCATACCTGACAGCTGCACCGCCTCCTGTCACTGTGAATATGTGCACTACGCGCCCATCTGCAGTCCAGATAATGTTACCTATATATCTGCCTGTCATGCCGGCTGCAACAGTAAACTGAAGGATGAACTGGGTCGACTCATCTACACAGGCTGTAAGTGCATTGGCACATTGGATATCGCAAATGTTACAGAGGTAAGTCTACCAGTGCTAATTATACACTCCCTATGTTATGCTTAGATATATGTAGATGTAATACTAGACTTATACTAACATACTTCCAATTTTAAATTCTAAATTGCTTACTATAAACCTTCAAAGTACACTCTTAACTTTAACTTGGGTTTACACTCTGCATTGCCAAAAAATCTTATTGTCTTTCCTCTGCTCTCTTCCGTAGTACCAATATGCACGACAAGGACCCTGTCCGGTGGATTGCTATAAACAGTTTCTCATTTTCCTAGGCGTTATGTGTTTGCTGAAATTCATAGGCGCCTCCGGTAGAACAGCTAACCTATTGTTGGCCTTGCGCTGTGTGTCATCTGAGGACAAGAGCTTTGCCCTGGGTCTGGGCAATGTAATCGCCTCCATAGTCAGCTTTATACCCAGTCCCATTTTATTTGGCTGGATTTTGGATAGCTATTGCGTGGTCTGGGGCAAAACGTGCGGTAGCAGAGGCAATTGCTGGCTCTATGATACCAAATCCTTACGGTAAGACCAAAAAACTATTCACTCATATTTACAGCTACATAAATTCTTCTTCTATGTAGCTATACTATAAATCTTTTGGCAGCTGCGTTTATATTTGCTGGCAGTTTTTGGAACATTGGCGTCTGGTATCATGCCAAAGATTTACAAATATTCGACACAGAGCCAGAAGAGGCAAAACACAAAAAGAACTCACAAACATTTGAATTAAACGAATTGTCACCTAGCGAAGTAAAATAAAAATAATATTTGATATCTAAATATTAAAAAGCTTAAGCAAATATTAACTATAACATACACAAATACAAAGTCGGAGGTTAGCCGAGTGATTTGCGATTTTTCGGCTTATCAAATTTGCCCGAGATAAACAGAGTAGCACGCGAGTTTCAAAAAGGTGTTAAAGGGCGACTTTTATAATCTATGGAGTGAACTACATAAAACATTATGTAATTATAGCCGTTATCTATCTAGAACGGTACAAGGTTAAGATCAGTATATCACTTATGTGAATATAAATGTAATGCACCCATTCGATGCAACAATAAACCCAGTCCATCCGAATGTCTGTTTGTTTGGCAATTTAGCTCTCTGTCTACCAATCTCACTATCTCTGTCTATCTGTCCTTTCATCTCCATCATTCCACATCAGTCTTTCCATCTCTTTGTTGCCCATCGCTCAGTCTCTTCACCTCTCTTTCTATTCATCCAATATGATCCTGTCCGTCTGTCTATTCATCTCTCTAAATCTCCATTTCTCTCCGTCTATTAAGGAGTCCGACTGTTACTCCGGTTTTTTAGATCTCTATATTTTTACATATATCCTTACTTATCTTACTCTATACAGTTTAAATACACTTCTGACTACTACAAATGTCAAATGTAAAATGTCGTTTAGCTATTTATACACACCCGCTTACCAGCCAAACTAGATGGCTATACATTATCTACCTAAAAGAAAAAGCATCTCATCTCTCATCAAAGTTGCTGGCTCATCCTCTCAAAAATTTGATATCTCGCGTGAATGCAAATGATAATGTCATTATTATACTATATTTTCGTTGACTTAACGGGGTATATATACAAGATATGGCAAAAGTTTTATTGTTGTTAAAACAATAATTGTTAGTTGATCTTTATGGATGCACAATTTGTCAACTGTTGGCCTAGATATAATGGTCTGGCAATAGTTAGCAATTAGTCGGGCTACAAGTTTTGATGGAGTCGGTTCAACAATGAGTCTCGAAAAGAAACCAGATCAAGCAGAGGAGGACCCTTTTCTCGAGAGTGCTAAGCAGAACAATGGCAAGGTACGGAAGGAAAAACCTCACAAGGATATCAGATGTGGATTTTGGATATTCAAAGGATCGCTCCTACAGCGGTATGGCTATGGATAAGCTAAGCTAGGCTAGCTATAAACTGAAGATTTACTTAATTTACAGCATGGCAACGGAAAAGTCGTTTGTCTTAATCTATGGCATCGGTGGCTGTCTCTTATCCATGTCCTTGGCCTATTTCAATGCCATTGTGACGACATTGGAGAAACGCTATAAGATCCCAACACAGACATCTGGCTTGATTATAGTTGGTAACGATGTCAGCATGATGATCACATCTGTGCTGGCTGGCTACTACATACACAAGGGACACCGTGCACGCTGGATAGCATTAGGTAAGTAGGACATCAACTGAACTCATTAATAGTCCGTCAATTTCGTATACTTGGCCTCTCAGGATTCTTTACGATATTCATTTTCTGCGTGCTCACCTGCTCCTTGCACTTTGCCTATGGCGCTGGCGAGGATGCCCTAAAGCTCACACGTGAATTTGGGGATTTCGAAAGTGTTGCTGAGTACACGGCGAATGCACACAAGGAGCACAAGTTATGCATGTCCGAGGAATCGGGATGTCAACAGAGCGATGGCACTTGGGTGCCGCCAATTGTTTTGTTCGTGGGCCAGTTTATTGCAGGCATTGGCATATCCTTGTTCTGGATTGTGGGCGTCGCTTATATGGATGACAATACAGAGAAGGCGAATACGCCAGCGTTGTTGAGTGAGTTAAGAGATAAGATAAGAGACCTATCATAAGGTATCATATCTCTTACATAAGATTATCTAACAAACATTCATTCTTCTCGTATCTCTCAGGCATTTCGGCTTTTCTGCGCATGCTAGGTCCAGCCCTTGGTTACTCCTTGGCGTCCGTCTGTCTGCGTTGGTATATTGAGCCGCATTTGGAGCCACTGATCAAGCCTGGTGATCCTCGTTGGCTGGGCGCCTGGTGGACTGGATGGGTCGTTCTAGCTGTCGTCACATTTATAATCTCCTTCTTCATGTTCATGTTTCCCAAGGAGCTGCCCAGCTCGAATGCAAGGCGTCTTCAACTAGAAGAAGCTGGCATCCAGAATCCCAAGCAGCACAAGGAGCTCTCCATGACCGACATGATGCGTTCGATCAAACGCCTGATGGTCAACAAAGTATTCATGTACAACTCCTTCGCCTCCACATTCTACTTCTTCGGCTACTTGGCCTATTGGATCTATACGCCCAAGTACATTGAGACCCAATATAGAACCTCCGCATCCATGGCCAGCATGGCGACCGGCACTATAGCTCTGGCCTTCTCTGCGGCGGGCGTACTGCTCTCTGGCTATGTTGTGTCCAAGTACAAGCCCAGTGGCAAAGCCATGGCTGCCTGGAATGGCTTCGTGGACTTCATGACTGTCGCAGGCGTTTTATGCTATGTTGTGATTGGCTGCAAAGGCAGCGACAATTTGAGCTCCATGGCAACAGTCAGTGGCAGCTGTGGGGTCTCCTGTCACTGCGAGTATGTGCACTACGCGCCCATCTGCAGTCCCGATAATGTCACCTATATATCCGCCTGCCATGCTGGCTGCACGGGCACGGCAAAGGATCAATTCGAACGCACCTTGTACACAGGCTGTGAGTGCATTGATCCAAAGAATACAACAACTGGAGTCGAGGTAAATTATTTGATTAGATTATTGGACCTGATCTATGATAATAATACTCATAATATTCACAGTTGCAGTATGCAGTGGATGGCGCCTGTCCCGTGGACTGCACCAACCAGTTCCTCATCTTCCTCGTTGTAATGTGCATACTCAAGCTCGTTGGTGCCAGCAGCAAGTCCACAAATCTGCTGATAGCCCTGCGCTGCATACAGCCGGAGGACAAGAGCTTTGCTCTGGGTCTGAGCGGCTTGATCAGTTCTCTGTTTGCCTTTGTGCCCAGTCCCGTCTTCTTCGGCTGGCTTCTGGACAAATATTGCCTGGTGTGGGGCAAGACGTGCAGCAACAAAGGCAACTGCTGGCTCTACGACACGGAGTCCTTAAGGTAAGCTGATGTTTTGCTCATCCAATTTGTAGCTTACTTAAATTTAATTCTATTTGCACTTCAGATACGCCTTCAACTTGACTGCAGCGTTCTTCATATTCCTTGGCGGTCTTCTGAATATTGGCGTTTACCGCAATGCCTCAGATTTGCACATATTCGATGAGGAGCCAAATGAAACGGATCAAGCTGATAGTAAAGTCGATAGCTTTAACTTGGAAACCAAAGCCAAAGAGACGGAAGCAACAAGAGATGTAGAAAAGTCTTAAGAATAATCTAATATTAATAAACTCTGTGAGTGATTAAAACAAATATTAAATGTTAAAATTATAGAAAAGATTAATTTACAAAATCATAATTAGCTTGTGAAATAGTTAACGAAAAATTAAAAATATAAATATAAATAGAGAAAAAAACTACACAGCCTGTCTCTCCGTCTGCCTCTCTGCCTAAGAAAAGCAAGAGATGAAGAAGAACTACAGAAGATCGTTTAGATTGTCTATATATATGAAGAAGTATTCAGAGTATTCAGAGAGTGTTCCCATTGGTCAATTGAAGCTCGACTGCAACGACGCCAGCCTCAACGTTTGAGCGCTTCTCAGGCTTTGAGTGAAAGTCGCCCTATATAAAGGGCAGCAGCTGCAACACTTTTTCAGTAGCCCAGGCCCGGTGGGGGTCAGACGTGCAGTGCAGTTAACTGAAGTGAAGGACTTGGAGGAAGGACATTAAGGGCTTGGAGGAAATAGTTGAAGCAAGTTGTTTGAAGAAAGGAAATACTTGGAAGAAATACAATGAAGAAATACTCAGAGGAAATACTCTGAGGAAAAACATAAACTTAACAAAACCTTTACCTCCTGATTTCCCGTTTTCAATAGATTCAGAATATAAGAACAGAAAAAATAACTTAATAATAAAGTATATTTGACAAGTGCGAGAATATCGTATAATCATTTGCGACGATTTGGCAGAGATTGAAAGAAGTTTCAGTTTTTCATTGCTGTTCCAACAATCTAAAAATAAAAGCAAATATTTATTAGATTACTTTCATAATAGTGGCTCAACTAAATGATAACTCAGTGTGTGTGTGTCTGAGGTAAACAAAAAGAGATAAGCGAAATATATCAGAGCTCATGCTGAGCTACTTAAAAAAGTCAAAGAGGCAAAGCTCTTGTCAAGCAGCTTTAAATAAAGTCAATGAAAGTGATGAAATTAGATTTTGACATGGGTTTAACCTAAGCACGAAATAGATTTAGATATAGTTGGCTAATTAGCTTAGTATGTTTATATGCTGCATCTGTTTATGTATATGATCTTATCGCGTGTCAGCTTAGTTAGGCTGCAACATTCATAAATTGCATCTGCGTAATCAGAAAGGCCGTTTTTATTGATGCCCAGAGATAATGGAAATCTCATTTTAATTGATAACTAAGAGAAAATCTAGATCAGTTCCACAGGGCGCTTGAATGGAGAGAGTTCAGCAAGATGAGCGTCGATGCAAAGGATTCAAGTGAAGTGGCTCCATTTCTAAAAGATGTTAACAAGCTAACGGCCATCGATCAGAAGGAGCAGGAGTTAGAGGACGCCAGGCGGGAGCAGGAGCTAAGCGAAAATCTAGATGATGGCAAGGATATAACCTGCGGCTTTTGGATATTCAAAGGACCTACGCTGCAGAGGTAGAGCCGAGTGAATATTTACCCAAAGAAGTATTTATATATACGAATGTTTCGCAGTTTCGCCACAGAGACAATGTATGTGACCATCTATGGCATCGCTGGGTGCTTCATGGCCATGTGCTTTGCCTATTTCAATGGCACAATTACCACACTGGAGAAGCGCTACAAGATACCCACAAAGACGTTGGGCATCATTTCGGTGGGCAACGATATGAGCACCATGTTTGCCTCGGCCTTGACTGGCTATTATCTGCGCAAAGTGCATCGACCGCGTTGGATGGGTTTGGGTAAATATATATAAAATATATATAATAAAAAAATTATGTAAAGAACTTCTCAAATTAAAGTAAATCCCACTTCCAGGTCTGTTTACAATCGTCATATTTTGTTTGCTAAACTGCTCGCTGCACTTCATCTATGGCGCTGGCGAGGATGCTTTGAAACTAACGCGTGATCATGGAGCTTATCAGAACTTGAGTGGACATTTAACTAGTTCACAGAGAGATCAGAAGCTGTGCATGAATGAGACATCGAGTTGCATACAGGAGGATAGTGTTTGGGTGCCACAAATGATTCTCTTTCTAGCTCAATTCATTTTGGGCATTGGTCAGGCGCTATTTCTAGTCGTGGGCCTGGCCTACATGGATGACAACACCACCAAGTCCAAGACGCCAGCAATGCTTAGTAAAGCCGGAACATAATTCATAGATCATTTGCATTATTTAACTATCTGACTTACTTTCCAGGCTTCTCCACTTTTCTACGCATGCTGGGTCCTGCCATAGGCTACTCCTTGGCCTCGCTTTGCCTGCGCTGGTATATAGAGCCGACAGCGGAGCCATTGATCAAGCCCGAAGATCCTCGTTGGCTGGGCGCCTGGTGGCTAGGCTGGCTCATCCTGGCCGCCATGACAGCCCTAATTGCCTTTGTTATGACACTATTTCCCAAAGAGCTGCCCAGCTCGAAGGCCAGACGCTTGAAATACCGAAAGGCTGGCGAACCAAATACAACTATGGAAATGGACTTCTCACTGGGCAACATGTGGTACTCGATTAAACTGCTGGCAACCAACAAGGTCTATGTGTACAATACGATTGCCTCCATACTCTACTTTTTTGGCTACATGGTCTACTGGATATTCACGCCCAAGTACATTGAGACCCAATATCAGCAATCGGCCTCGATGGCCACCATGGCCACGGGTACCGTAGCTCTGGGCTTCTCTGCAGCGGGCGTGCTGCTCTCTGGGTTTGTTGTGTCCAAGTACAAGCCCAGTGCCAGAGCCTTGGCTGCCTGGAACGCTACGGTGGACTTCTTGACAGTGGCTGGCATTTTGGGTTTTGTTGCCATTGGCTGCAAAGGCAGCGATGAACTGAGTTCCATGGCAACAGTGGGTGGTAGCTGCAGCGTCTCCTGTCACTGTGAATATGTGCACTACGCGCCTATCTGCAGTCCCGATAATGTCACCTATATATCCGCCTGCCATGCTGGGTGCACGGCCAAAGCAAAGGATCAACTGGAGCGCACTCTATACACGGGCTGTGACTGCATTAATCCAACAAATTTAACAACTGGAGTTGAAGTAAATTGGACATTAATTCGATTATTGCATCAGATCTACAAACTCATAGTTTATATTCACAGTTGCAGTATGCTGTGGATGGCGCCTGTCATGTGGACTGCTTCAATCAGTTTCTCCTTTTCTTGGGCGTCATGTGTTTCCTGAAGCTCGTCGGTGCCAGCAGCAAGTCAACGAATCTGCTCATAGCATTGCGGTGCATACCGCCGGAGGACAAGAGTTTTGCCCTGGGCTTGGGCAGCATGGTGGCTTCGCTATTCGGCTTCATACCCAGTCCCATTTTCTATGGCTGGCTGATAGATAAATATTGCTTGGTGTGGGGCAAGACGTGCAGCAACAAAGGCAACTGCTGGCTCTATGACACCATATCCTTGAGGTGGGTGCATGCTGATGCCTTTCACAACATATTTGCCATATTAATCTTCACTTCGATGTATTTTCAGATACGCCTTAAATCTGGCGGCTGGCACTTGCATATTGCTGGGTGGTTTTATGAACATTGTGGTCTGGTATCATGCCAAGAATCTCAAAATCTTTGACGACGATAAAGCCAAGAGCTTGGAGGATATCACACTAAAAGACTTGGGCAGCACGCTACAGCTGCAAAAGCTTGATGAGAATATCTAAAAATATCTAATATGTACTGTTATCTGACGTAATTTGCCACAATAAAGACTCCCAGATTATATCCAGTCTGGCGCTTATCTTCAAAGACATATAAACTTGACAGCTATATGGATTGTAAGCTGCTCTCTATTTACGAGTGAGGGTCGAGGGATAAGCGCCTACTATAAGTCAGTTCAATAAGGGCAGCCACTCATCGGGCAGTGGCGGCTCTAGTATAGCCGTCGTATTGTTCTCCTCGATTTCATTGGCATCGCACAGACACCACAAGGCATCGAAGAGCAGCAATTGGAGCAAACCTGCGCCAGCTGTGCACTCTTCAAATGTTATTGGCGGTAAATCATTTTGAGCCTGAGCGCAATAGACATTCAATCTTTCGTTACTCAAACGAGCCAAGCATATGGCCTGCCCTTTATGCTCTTCAACTTTCCACATGGCTAACAGGACATCAGGCAATGGTTTCATGTACTCCTTTAACAAAGCAGCTGCAGTAACATTTTGTGTGTAGTTGTTTTCTTGAGTTCGTTCCAGTTGTTGCTTGTAGCTGTTTTCCGTAAATCTCTCATGTTGCAGCTGATATAGGCAACGCGCAGATTTTGCACAAAAATTGTTTTCCAATATATTGTGTACTTGGCAACTATCCAAGACAATCGGGGGCAACTTTTTCCTAGTTACTCTTCTAAGCTCTTGCAGAGCTTGCAGAAGCAATTGCTGTTTGGGCGCGACAATGGCTACATAATTCTCTAAGCCATTATCTTCGATTTCCAGCATGATATTTGATAAAGCTTTGCCCATTTCATCATTTCGAATAAGCTGTAATATTTAATATAATTGTTTAAAAGACAAATTCTTTAGATAAGGCGTTGGCTTACAGGCATTCTCAGTCGATCCACAGTCAAGTTCTTATCCCTCAGCATGGCCAAGCTTCGAGCGTAGCACAGACGCTGCTCCTCGGCATTGGTACGCGTTACAAACACAACAAACATCTACAAAAATGTTGCTCAAATGTTTATAAATATATTCAACTATACTGTTCAGTTAAGTACCTTATGCACATACGGTTCCTTACGCACCCAAAACTCATTTAAGTTCAGGGTATATGTCTTGCTTCGGTCAATGCGATGCAGCACTCCGGGATGATAGTACTCCAAACCCATATTATCATATGTTTTATGTACGCGTCGCAAACGCCATTGCACCTTCTTTGAATACGCCGTGTACTCATCATCTGTCATGCATTCAATATTGGCAAAATCATCCGGTTGGACACAGATGCCAAATTTGGAAATTGGTGGTCGGCCGGGTCGCACATAGCCCTGGGCCTGTGCCTCGGCTTTCTCGTGTCGTGCTGCCACTAGGCGCTCGAGTAGCTCCTGCTTTGAGCCTTTTGTACTTACGGCACGACCGTATAGGTCACGTACCAAATCTCGTATATTAAATTCGGAAACTGGCAGCTCCATTGCACAATTTGCATGCCAAATATTTACCGCAATCAAATGCTGAAGCGCGAAATTTAGAGATGAGTCGATATAAGGCAGTGCTCTAAATTGTCCAGTGAACAGTGCTGCAAAGTGTTGATTTATGAAACATCTAGCAATCGATGTATCGATACGATAGAAACGGACATTTCAATTTTGCTTTCATCTCAGTTACTTTTGTATCTTTGTATATTTGTTATTCGATCTAAAATAAGGTTCCAAATTAAAACACCTTAATGGAATAGGGAAAACCACAAACTTTCAATGGAGGAGAGTAGTTGCGACAAATGGAGGGACAGAAACAAAGTAAAACCACCACCCAGACCGAGCTGCTTTCAGCCATTGGAAGGAAATTGTCCAGAATGCAAGCCTCCCGAAGAAATTCCAACACAGGAGGGACAAACTGTGAAAGAGGAAAACATTGTGAAAGAGGAAAACATTGTGAAAGATGAAAACATTGTGAAAGCAATTCTCAAGCCAGAGCCTCCAACAAGACGTGTTATAGATCCAAGCCGTCTATGTGCATCGTCATCCCTTTCTCCCAAACGAGAAAAATGCTGCAATCTACGTGAGGCCGGAGAAGCTGAACATAAAGATAATTTTTGTTCAGCAAAATGCAGCCCACTGAAACCAGCTATGCTTCACTTAGAAGAGGTATGTCTTTGTAGGCATTTACTTTCTATGTGTTAAATTTCGTAATTTTTCTTCAATAGTGGACGAAGCGTCCTCGGCCGAAACCTACATATAAGAATTGTGTTTACCTCAATAATGAACTTTTGGCTGGACGTGCATTTCCTATGAAGTTTCGGATACGTCGAAATGTGCGCAATTGTGGTGTGTGTGGTAGGGCAATGTATTTACGTGACTCAATTACGGATAGTTCAAATATAATCTTGATTTCGAACTGCTGCGACGTCCAGGTGTATCCAAGTTCGTATATTGAAAATTGGCATCGTGTACCCATTCTTTCAATAACACGCAAAGACTCTATGCATAAGAAGGTAATTAACGAAATCTGTGTGCTTGAACCCAAAAAACTTCCGCCACCGCCGCCACCTCCACCACCACCGCCACCACCTCCACCCGAAAAGAAAAAGCCAAAGAAAGGAAAGAAATAAATTTGCGAAATTCCTTTTTTATAATATGTGTCAAAATGAGCGCCATGGGCAAAATAACAAATATATTTCGATTTTTGTAAATATCCGATTATCTCAGATCGATTGGCTTCTAATCGATGATTATTCTATTAACGTATTTTTAAACACCTTCAATGAAATGCAGTGGATTAGTTCTGGTTTTTCAATTTGCATTTAATTAATTTAAATTCAGTCGCATAAGCATACTTAGCGTTAACCTAATAACTAAAATGTATAATTCAGCTTAATATGAAAAACAGCGCTGCCAATTCACAATATATGTACGTAGAAAAGGGGGAACTTAACACATGATGATCGAAAAGTTTTCCTTGTATAATTTCTTGACATTAGAATTCGTTATCGAGAATGTGTTCCTGTGTGTGTGTGTATATGTGTGTGCATTTTATAATTACAGTTACAAATACTTGAATATTGTTAATATTGTTGTTGTTGTTGTTGCTACAATACGTAAATACGACTTAGAGCTAAATCATGATTTTTATTCCTGCAATTCTCTCACAAAATGTTCATTGTTAATTGTTGTTGTTGGAGTTTTGCTGGCATTATTAAACTTTAGAATTTGTTTTTGGAAAACTATGGATAGCACTCGCTAATTTGTTGTTTGCGCAAGGCGTTGTATTGCAGTTGAATCGATTTTTGAGTGACATCGAAGTTCACAACTATATATATACATATGTATATATATATATATATATATATATATATATATATATATATATATATATATATATATATATATATATATATATATATATTTAAACATATTTTAGATTATAGCTACATATGCACTTGAAATATTGATTTAAAAATTAGCTACAAATTGTTAGACTACATTATATGTATATGCACATATATAATATAGGTATAATATAAGCGTCTACTTATACTGTCGAGTGGCGAGTCACTAAATTTTTAAAATGAAAATCTTCTCTTTCTTGTGCTAATGCGGAGGGAAAGGGATTTGGATGGGAATGAGGATGGGACATTGTGAATGAGGGAAGGCCTATGTTTTTACAATCACGGGAAAAAAGTCTTTGAGTAGTGTGGTGCGACGCTTTTCTGCTATATCCATTTGATTCTCGAGCACAGCACGATCCGTTGTCTCCGCTCGCTCGATTTTCCATGACAGATTCTCAATTTCAGCCTCCAGTTGCGCCTACAAAAATGAAGATTATATTAATTAGAATTATAGGTAAAAATATATGTTTATTTAATTATACAATATATATAATATTAACTATGATAGCCATACTTAAAGAGACAACTATATAAACTGATTTTTGAATTGCCTCTTACCTGCTGGTATTCGAACAGATTTTTGCGGGATCCCGGTTCCATATAGTAGGCATATGGATACGTATATTGCAGGGTATATCGACATTTGGCTAGCAGCGCGGCTGCATTGAACAGGTATTGCCAATCGATCCAGGTGCCGCTGCCATTCATCACCTTCGTATTGATCCGCTGACGCAGTCGATCGATTGTCTGTTGCTCGAGCTTGAGAGACTTGGAATGGTTCTCCCAGCGCTCGTAGTAGTGCAAATACTTTTTGAGTGCCTCGCGCGCCTGCACATGCACCGATTCGTTGGCTATATTGGGATTATCCTTGTAGCGCGAGCATTCGTAATACTCTGAGCCGTGCGTCTTCCAATCCCCCAGGCACATCCAGCAGAAGTCGTGCTTGCAGTTGAAGCACTGCATGTGATTGCAGCCGCCGTTCTTCTCGATGCAGATGTGACACTTGGGACAGTCTTTGGTATGGGCGCTAATGTAGTTGGCTGTTTCGCTGTCATCGGCGCACTTCGTCAGCCACTTCCTGATGATCTGACAGTCTGTGGGCGCATGGTAGTCCATGCCACACTTGAAGCAGAAGCCCGTATGGCACACCTTGCAGATGGCACGCTTCGCACAGATCTCCGATGATTGCACAATGATTTGGCAATTGGGGCCGGGACAGAAACGCAGCTGCGGATGCGATTTCACGTAGTCCTTGAAAGCAAACTGCTGGTACTTGTCCCGCATCACTGGCCGTGTGACCAGAGTCAGTACCAAATCTTCGGGCACCCGGACATTACACTGCTGTGCCATGCAGCCAATCTGTATGGAGATGCCCTGAAAGATTTGCGTCTCAAAGTAAATGGTCCAGCAATCCTTGCAAAACGAGTGTCCACACGCCAAGCTATAGAACTTGTCATTCGGCTGCGTGCTCGCACACACCGGACACATCCGTCGCTGTGGCTGTGACTGTTGCTGTTGCTGAGGATTGCTGCTGGCAGCTGTTGTTAGCGATGAAGTTGATGAAGATGCTGTTGATGTCCTATAGCCGCTGCTGCTGCTCAAGCGCAGTTGGGCGGCCGCAGCAGCACTCGTCGAGGCCGCGTCCACGGCTGTGGTGGGTGGCTTGATTCTCGCCGACACGAGCAACGCATTCGCATCCTGCCGATACTTCTCCACCACAGCCGCATTGTTCCACTGGTGCTCGAGCAGCAGCACTTTGGCCAATGAAGGCGTTATTTGTAGTATTGTGTTCAATTTCTCCACAAGCTCATTTAGCAGCTTCTCAATGTCCTCGACGGTTAGGCACTCGTATTCGAAATATTCGGGATCGGCGCGCTTCGGGTCAAGTCTCTCGACATCGCAGTCTTCGCCTAAAAGTAGACGATAGTTATTGATCAATATAATAACAAAGTAGAGTCTGATATATTTATTGCAGTAGTCAGATTTATTTATATAAAAATCGATTTGATCGATGTATTCGTTTCATTTGGTTTATAGGGTATTTTTGCCTATATGGCAAATTTTACCTAGTTCGAACACCCTTATTTTCTGTTTCTGCTATTTTGACTCGGGTCTTCCACATAATCTACGAAAGGACTAACCAGGTGCAATCGCTAAATGATTCATTTCCCTTTTCTACCTGCTCTATTCACATGTTTACAATGAACAAAAATTACCAAACAAAAACGAAATAAAAATCCAATTCATGATGATGTATAATGGAATTTATTGCCATTTTAACGACGGCTTGGAAAAAGGGAAGACAAAAAATATTGAAGGCCGAATATTACGTCGTTGGCTTACAAATTAGATTTACCTATGACGTCACAACCAGCTCAGTGTAGGCGTGTGTAGGATAGAGGAGAGAGGGAGATGAAGCAGCAGCTGAAAGGCAGGTCAAAAGCAGCTAAAATTGTTGACGGAAGAAACTGCACGACGCGTCGCGACGTCAGACAGCGAACACTTGAGCACGCATCTCGCTGCGGAGAGGAAGAGCAGCAGCAGAAGCAGCAACAACAGTAACAATATCAACAGCAGGTAAAAGGCATACCAGTAGAAAGAATACAAAGTAAAGGTGGCAATAATACAGATAATAAACAGTACATGAAACCAAAGTTGAGCTAAGGCGACTAACAGATACCCAGTATATGCATATTAAAAGCACTTAAACTTGCATAACACGTACGATACAAATTTTGTTATCGATAACTTGATGTGCAGCTGATCTGCTGCACTTTAGAGATAAGAGCGAAATTACAGAACTGCTATTTTGAGCTTGGCACAAATCTAGCACTGGTGCAATATACCCTTGATCCCATAAGTATTGGGTATAATTAGTAACAACAGAGATTTAATAGAGCGCTGGCCCCGTAGTTCTTGGCACTGGCCAAGCTTTACGTATATACGACCATTTCAAGTTCAATTTCAATTTCATAATTTAAGTTTCATGGTCAGAAAGCAAACGTAACGAACCGAGCACAACAAGAAATATTAAACACAATCAAATTATATTGTAAACGAGCGAAGAAGCCGCAACGGGCGAACAAGAAAACAACGAATAGGGGGAAAAGAGTTCAAGTGTAAAAGGCAGAGAACAGGGCAGGTAAAGGCGAATGTCAAGAG